CCCCACGGCACCGAGGGCGCGCGCCCGGCGACGCGGAGCAGCAGCAGGAGGAGGAGGAGGGTAAGAGCGAGCGGGCGGCCCCGGCGCGGCGTGACCCCCTCCGGCCTCCGGCCATGCTGCAGCGCGCGGCGGGCAACGCCTACTCCTGGTGGTGGGCGTCCCACATCCGCACCAGCCAGTCCAAATGGCTCGACGCCACCCTCAACGGTACGCATTCGTTCCCCATCTCCGGCGTGGCGCATTGCGCACTGCTGATCTCTGAAAACTGTGGCCGTGACCATGTTGTATCTGCATCGTGCGTGCAGAGATGGAGGAGAGGGTGAAGCTCATGATCAAGCTCATCGGGGCGGATGCCGACACGTTCGGCAAGAAGGCAGAGCTCTACTTCAGGAGCCGGCCGGAGCTCATCAGCAACGTCGAGGACATGTTCAGATCCTACCAAGCGCTGGCCGACCGGTATGACCGGATATCTAGCGAGCTGCACAAGGCCAACCACACCATTGCCACCGTCTTCCCGGACCATGTCCAGTTCTCCATGCAAGAGGGTGATACCGAAGGAGTCCCCAAGGCAATTACAAGTATTGATCTCATCAACTACAAATTCCCTGCTCTGGAAGGTTTGCCCATGGGCTCACGGGTCACAAGCCGGGGATCGAGCCCGAACCCGGCTCCGAAGAGGACCCAGACACACCGGCGAGTCGGCTCCCACATGAACAAGGACAGGGCACTGGAAGAGATCGACAAGCTGCAGAAGCAAATCCTGGTGCTGCAGACCGAGAAGGAGTTCTTGAAGACCACTTATGACAGTGCACTGGGCAAGTATCTAGACATTGAAAGGAAGGTGGCCGAGTTGCAGGAGGAAGTTTGCAGCTTGCAAGATACTTTTAGCACTAGCTCGGACATTGAAGACAATGAAGCCCGAGCACTGATGGCTTCACGAGCCCTTATGTCTTGTGAGCATACATTAGTTAACTTGCAGGGCCAGCAAAAGAGGTCATCTAAAGAGGCGAGGACTGAATTTCAAAGATTCAACGAGGCAAAGGAGAAACTGAAAACCTTCAAGGATGAGTGTGGGCAGCCCCAGACGCAAGATGACGGGCCCGATCACCATGAAACAGAACTTACCCAAGTACTGCCACCTGTGGATGGTGGCGATTCTATTCAGAACGAGGCTAAGCTTGACCTGCATGAAGTATGCCAAAAAATCAAAGAACTAATTGAATTGCGCCCAGAGGCATCAGTTTCAGACATAGCGGAAAAGGTTGATCAACTTGTGGAGAAGGTAGTCAACCTGGAGCTTGCTACTACGTCGCAGAATGCTCAGATCGATAGAATGAAATCCGAGATAGACGACTTTCACAAGCGCCTGCATGCCTTGGAGGAGGAGAAGGCGGCTTTGGTTGTTGATTCCAGTAAGTTGGCCGACAGGTTGAAGCAAGTTGAGGTGGTGCTACAAGTCGTCCTACAAATTGGTAGGTCCATACAACATGGTACCGAGAATATTAGTAAAGAAATGACTGAAGCTTGCAGTGAACTTGCTGGGTTTGTAGAAGCATTGAACTCTCCAGCGTCTGAAAACAGCAAGTTTTTTGATTCGTCCGAAAAGGGCTCGGAAGATCTTGTGGTGCGGCAACAGCTTGTTGCTAATCTATCTGAAGGCGAGGATAATATTTTATCAGAAGATTATGCATCTGTTCTTCAGATCTACAAAGATACAGAGCAACAACTTTCTGAAATTGAGAAGGAAAACCAAAAGTATCATACTGAGGCGATGTCAGAGCTGAAGGAACTGAAGAGCTCTAATACAATGAAAGACGAGGAGATTCATTCTCTTCGCCGCATGCTAAGTTCTTTGCAGAGAAAGATGAATGTTTCTGTTTCGGAGAGCGGGGAGACGTCTGAAGAAACGTCCAAAATAAGCAGCACTCCTACAACTGAAGACAAAGAGATTGCTGATGTAGATGAATATATTAAGCAATGCGAAGGTGAAGAACCACTTGAGTATTCAGTTGGGGAGGAAAAATTTAGAGCAGAGATCGACAAGGTGTTGGAGCAGACCATGGACTTCTGGCTGAGGTTTAGCACATCATACCATCAAATACGACATTTCCAAACAGCATTTGACAGGCTAAAAGCCGAGATGATTAAGTTGACCGATGCACAGGCACAGGGAGTTGCAGATGGAATTCCTACTAATCATCAGGTAGCAAAACTGGAGTCAGCTGTTTTAGAAAAGAAATTTCGGGATTTGAATACAGATCTTCAAGTTTGGATGGAAAAGAATGTGCTATTAAAAGGAGAGCTGGAGAACAGGTTCTCTTCACTATGCAGCATACAAGAGGATATATCAAAGATCACAATTCTGGATAAAGGTGGTGAAGATCATTTCACCCTCATCCAAGCTGCAAAATTCCAAGGAGAGGTTCTTAATATGAAACAAGAGAATAACAAAGTTGCTAAAGAGCTAGAAGCTGGTCTGGACCACGTAAGAGGTCTCCAAGTGGAGGTTGGGAGGGAGCTCTTGAAACTCCGGGAGAATCTTGAGCTATCTATAGCAAGAAGCAACCGCGCTCAACAGAACTTTCGAACCTTGTCAACAAAAGCTGTGGTTCCCCTTAGAACTTTCCTGTTTGGTGTGAAGCCGAAGAAGCCATCACTCTTCTCCTGCATGGGTCCTGGAATGCATAAGCAATATGGTAGCTCGAAGTCTGGTCGTAGATGAGAATGGTTGGGTTATCTGCTATTTGTTTCTTCATATTAATACATGAGAGATTTCATTGTAGTTGCCAGTTGATTTGGAGCTATACGTGTCTTTCCTTAGGGCTTAAATGTATAGGACCTGCATTACTCGACTCGAATTTGGTTTACGATTCAATATACTCCTGCACTAACCTTGCTGCCAGAACTAAATTTGGTGGGAAGGATAATGTCAGATTTGTTCATCATACTACTGTCATGGTACTGGAAGAAACTGTATTTGCCTTCAATGGTCAAACTGAGGTCAAGTTGGCAATCCTTGGGGGCATCGTTCATAAAGCTGTTGGGAGGAAACTATTGCCACTCAGATTCCAGACAAAATACAAAGTTTTTTGAATTTCTCATGTCCACAGTATCCTTGTCTTCTTCTGGTGGTCTGTTCAGCAGTCATTGAAATCACTTTTCAGGATACGCAATCTTGGAGAAGCGTGTCTCCCCTCGTTTGGCAATGTCTTTCTTCAATGCATGGCGTCAATATAGTGGAAAATTACCAGACAAAAATGTCTGTTGACTTCATTGTGTTTGGTTCATGTCCAAATTCATTTGCATACGATGATCTGTTAACATCCAAAAAAGGAAATGGAAGGCTAGGTTGCCTATAAAACTAATATTGTACTACTTTCTTCTGTTCCCTTTTCTATGGAAGGTGGTGCTGCTGTTTACTACAGTTGCTTGTTATATTGCATCTTTAGCCTCTTACCAGTTTACCATAAGTTTAGGGCTTCACTACTTCCTTAGCAGGAAAGATAAGTGACTGTTGGTTTCATTCAATCATTAACAAGATGGTGTCAGAATCTTGGCTCAGATAAACTTGATCAGGTATGTTTCATATTAGTGCTCTAGACGGCACATCAGATGAAGTTAATAATGCTACCTTGTCTGTTCTTTGCCGTATTTACTTTTTAGTACGTACTTATTTAGAAAACAGAAATTGGGCTGTGAGGTGGCAGTTATCAGATATGGCTTAGCCCTGTTCTATCCATTATATACTCACTGTTTTCAGTTTTATGCATAGTTTACTGTATAATGAAACTCTGTAGTTGTTGAAACTGTGCAGTTCTTTCCTAGTCGGTTCACAGGTTTCCTCAAAGTTCTTCTGTTTCCCAAGGTGGTGGGTTCCCGTTTCCTACTTTGCTAGTTGCTACAGAAGTAGGAACCCATTGTACAGAATCAAAGATAAGGTAGGTACCGGGCAATCTCTAGACTCTAGCTAAAGATTAAAGCTCTTGAAATTGATAAAGAAGGGCTTGAGTTTCGTTCCAGCAAGCATCACATCAGTTATCCAGCTACAGCTTGTTTTATCTTGTACACCTTTCTATTCCTGCTCCACAATGCTAGTTACTAGTCCTGTTGTCTTTGTAAGTGGATCTCGTTGACAATCGTAGATGGAACTATACATTTGTTTTTCTACTCCACTGCTAGTTACTGCATTTGTAAATGTGTTTATTGGCAAATCCAAAACCAAATTCAAAACTGCAGTGGAGAAGTTAGTTTCCATGTCCAGTATAAATCCGTCATTCATCTTTAATATTTTCTCTAGTACTATTATCTTCTCGTGGATTTCTTAAGAAAATGTTAGGTGGTCCTTAACCTGGTTGTGATGTTATATTTTTTTTCTTTTTCAGAAAGGGTTATATTTTTCTTAAAACTAGTAATGTATGTTCTTCATAAGATTAAGATCATCTAACTTATACATACTCGTGATTGGCCCACATGCGCAAATATCGCCAGTAAGGTGCAATTGTTTTCTTCATTTCTGTGCAGAATGACCAATGGCATCAATCTCCCCGTGTTTATTAATGCATAATATAGAGTTGGAGCATATTCCTTAACAGCTTGTCTGACACCTGTTCGTCTTCTGAGGTGTTATGTTCAGCATACTTTTTATCTTCTATCAAAGGAAGGCAGATTTCAAACTTCTTTTCCTTCCAAGGTAAAGAATCACATTTCCAATGGCTTCGCTGGACAGAAAGGGCCCCAGCTTTTTCAGGAGCTATTTGACTTCCCACCCAGCTCATCAGTTTGATAACCTTCCATGACATGTCTACTGTTGCCTGTAGTGACCATACTGAGCTGGCATATCAATTAGGAAATTTCTTCCTTGTTAAAAGTAGTGGCCCTAGCCGCCCTACTACCTTCGGTATATAGTGTATACCATGCACATCAAACGTTCTCTTCTTATACCAATCCCCTTCACTTGCACTTAGCCCCAGACACATTAGAGGGATTCATATCCAAAAGCCATGTTCAATCCTTCTTCCTCGCCCACACCCACCTATAGTGACCCCTCCATGCACCATGCATGGAACTTCTCTGGTGATCTGCACACAGCTCCGACCGAAATTCCTCGCGGCACTGGTTTCTTCCACTCCAATGGTGGCCTGTTTTCTCCGGTCGATGTTGCTGCTTCAGCACCGCCTTCCTGCATCTCTCCCCTTCCCCCCTACAATATCAACACGAGCACCAGCTCACACCCCTTACCCTTTCACCTCCAGTTTCTTGACCCCCTCAACGGTAATGCTGCCTTCTCTTGCCCGTCTCATTCGACATGGCAGTTGCATCCACCCCCTTTTGCTTCCTCCCCTTCCTCGTCCTCTGGTGACTTCTTTGAATTCAGCAGCTCCGATACCATGCGCCGTGTCCTTAGCACCGGCGACCTACAGGTAATGCAACAAGACTCAAGTTGGGACTGCAGTTCATACCACTAAACAGCTGCTAACCACGTCTTGATGCAAAACAGGGCAACAATGTTTCGCCACCATTGCCGCCACCGCCAATACCGCCACAATTTCCAGGCGACAACTGCAGCCAGGAAGCCGGTGATCCTTTTTCAGAGAAGGTGGGCCGTTACAGCGCCGAAGAACGGAAGGAGAGGATCGAGAGGTACCGCGCCAAGCGCCAGCAGAGGAACTTCCACAAGAAGATAACTGTGTGTGTTGATCCCCCTCACAGCCTGTAAATGCTTCTGTTCTCTAGCCAATTCTGACACATCTCTTGCCCACCATCTCTCTGGTCTTCCAGTACGCTTGCAGGAAGACGCTGGCAGATAGCCGGCCAAGGGTGCAGGGCCGCTTCGCCAGGAACCTGGAGGCGGAGGGCGACATGGAGACGGAGGTGTCTGACATCAGCTACGAGTACTGCCCATACGACAACCTCGGCGGCAACCGCTACGACAGCCAGAGCCAGTGCATGGAAACCGTCGGTGATGGCACGGCGTTTGACGACAGCAAGTGGTGGTGGGGCACACCGGTGGCAGCCAACAGGCAGCAGCAGCAGCAGCTTGGTTTCGACGTCGACGACGACGAATCCCAGCTGTGGGCCAGCCTCGCTGACATGTGCTAGCTCCGGCGCCTGATCCTGATTGGTGCTGTCTGGTCTGCTGGTGCAAGGAGCACCGAGCGGCGGCTGCCGTGGGTCAGAGCGGCGTCGCTGACCTTCTTAAGCCCCGCCCGCCACCGTACCCGTAGTGCATGCAGCTTAATTATTTAGCCTTTAGTAGAAGAAAGAAAGAAAGAAAGACGAGGATGAAGAGGACCTCTCACTCACCTCCCAGCTTCTTCTCCGTGTGTTCCGTCCGAGTCAGACAGTTAGCACTACTTTCTACTCGTGTTTTACAATCTTGTTCCATAAAGCATGGCCCTGCTGTTGCTTCCTGCTCCTGCATAAGCACCCGAAAAATCGAAACAAATCTCCTTGCTGTAACTTTCGTGTCTCGTTTTGTCTGTTTTTCATCGCTCTCGCTTTGCGAATGTCAGTGCTGGTGCCTACATGTTTTCGACATGCTTGCTGATCGGGGAGGCCACTGAGCCATGGCGTGCGCCGCCGACCCCCGAAGGTTCCGGCATGCCCCTTGTTGCGGATGGCAAATTGGCGAATGGCGACGGTCTCATTGGCACAACCAAAAATGGTGGTGCCGATCACTTTCATGTAGAAACCCTGTGTAGATCGACCGGTGTGCGGGCTTTGCACTATGTGATTTCCCCTCTATAAAGATACCACACTAGCAGTTCCTGGAAAGAAAAGATGCATCTCGTAACTGTCTTTTTATTGGCCATTTCGGCTTGGAAAGCTTGACGCTATCATTGTCTCGAGAATCATTTCGTGTGTGGGGATGGTGCAGGGATGTAGGCTATTTCCGGTCATGGGTGTCATGGAATCAGAATGTTGGTGGAATAGCTTTTTTGCCTTGTTGAGAACTATTTAGGTCACGGAATCAGTATACTGCTTTCTCCAACATCACACTAGAAGGAGCTTGCTTCTAATTAAAAGGAAAATGGTTTTACAACAAACTTTACCATTTTTAAACCTATTTTTACCAAACTGACAACTAGGGCCCACACGTCAGAATATTGTGCAGCTGACTAGTGGATAACTCGGATGTGCATACGTTGGAGGCGACAAGTGCAATCCCTGCATACGTTGGAGCCTAGGGCTAAACCAGCCACACCGCTCAGCTCTTGTGCCATGGTAGATATATATTTCATCTATTCAGGTTTTAGGTCAAATATTGAACATAAATTTGATCTAAAATACAAGGGGAACTAATAAATAAACCAAAACACGGAACACGGCTCTTCGACTCTGGAACACAGATCGTCATCTGTCCAACTCGAGTGACAAGCAGGTGGGCGGTGCCCGACAACAACTTATGCTTGCCCGGGAGCTTATCTTCTGATTCGATGTTGCCATGGAGTCACACAGCTTTCAGAGCTCAAGCGTCAGTTCCGTGCCAAGCTAAAACACACATACCTGTGACTCGGTTCAGTGGATCACACTATGGCCCGACGGCGGTCAACGATTACCTGGTTGGGTGAGGGGGGGCGCCAACACGGCCTTCTTCCACTAGTACGCCTCCTACCGGAAGGAGAAGATGGTGATTCAGAGCCTGATGGTTGATGGCGTTGTGGTCTCAGATCAAGCAGCCATGGCCGAGGCAGCGTTCAAACATTTCAGCTTGCTCCTAGGTACAACTGGTCAAAGGGACTCGTTGGACCTAAACATTTTGGGTTCCTGCTCCGAGGACTTGGTTGATTTGGATGCCCCCTTTATGAAGGAGGATATCTGGGAGGTTGTTCGTAGGCTACCGCATGGGAAGGCGCTAGGACTAGACGTATTCATGGCGAGGTTCCTCCAGTCCTGCTGGGAGATTGTGAAGGCCGACGTCTTGGTTGCCTTTGCCAAGTTGCACTTCTTATTTTTGGGGAACGTTGTAGAAAATAAAAAAATTTCTACGCTTTCAACAAGATCAATCTATGAGTTTATCTAGCAACGAGAGAAATGAGTGCATCTACATACCCTTGTAGATCGCGAGCGGAAGCATTCGAGAGAACGGGGTTGAGGGAGTCGTACTCGTCATGATCCAAATCACCGATAATCCTAGTGCTGAACGGACAGCACCTCCGCGTTCAACACACGTACGGTTGAGGAAGACGTCTCCTCCTTCTTGATCCAGCAAGGGGGAAGGAGAGGTTGACGGAGATCCAGCAGCACGACGGCGTGGTGGTGGATGCAGCAGTGATCTCGGCAGGGCTTCGCCGAGCTTCTACGAGAGGGAGAGGTGTAGCAATGGGAGAGGGAGGCGCCAAGAGCATGGGTGCGGCTGCCCTCCCCCCCCCTATTTATATAGGCCCCCTAGGGGGGGGGGCGCCGGCCCTAGGAGATGCCATCTCCAAGGGGGGGCGGCGGCCAAGGGGGTGGCTTGCCCCCCAAGGCAAGTGGAGGTGCCCCCCACCCTAGGGTTTCCAACCCTAGGCGCAGGGGGGCCCAAGGGGGGGCGCACCAGGCCACCAGGGGCTGGTTCCCCTCCCCACTTCAGCCCACGGGGCCCTCCGGGATAGGTGACCCCACCCAGTGGACCCTCGGGACCCTTCCGGTGGTCCCGGTACAATACCGGTGACCTCCGAAACTTTCCCGATGGCCGAAACTGCACTTCCTATATATAATTCTTCACCTCCGGACCATTCCGGAACTCCTCGTGATGTCTGGGATCTCATCCGGGACTCCGAACAACTTTCGGGTTACTGCATACTTATATCTCTACAACCCTAGTGTCACCGAACCTTAAGTGTGTAGACCCTACGGGTTCGGGAGACATGCAGACATGACCGAGACGCCTCTCCGGTCAATAACCAACAGCGGGATCTGGATACCCATGTTGGCTCCCACATACTCCTCGATGATCTCATTGGATGAACCATGATGTCGAGGATTCAATCAACCCCGTATACAATTCCCTTTGTCAATTGGTACGTTACTTGCCCGACACTCAATCGTCGGTATCCCAATACCTCGTTTAATCTCGTTACCGGCAAGTCACTTTACTCGTACCGTAATGCATGATCCCATGACCAGACACTTGGTCACATTGAGCTCATTATGATGATGCATTACCGAGTGGGCCCAGAGATACCTCTCTGTCATACGGAGTGACAAATCCCAGCCTCGATTCGTGCCAACCCAACAGACACTTTCGGAGATACCCGTAGTGCACCTTTATAGTCACCCAGTTATGTTGTGACGTTTGGCACACCCAAAGCACTCCTACGGTATCCGGGAGTTGCACAATCTCATGGTCTAAGGAAATGATATTTGACATTTGGAAAAGCTCTAGATAAACGAACTACACGATCTTTGAGCTATGCTTAGGATTGGGTCTTGTCCATCACATCATTCTCCTAATGATGTGATCCCGTTATCAATGACATCCAATGCCCATAGTCAGGAAACCATGACTATCTGTTGATCAACGAGATAGTCAACTAGAGGCTTACTAGGGACATGTTGTGGTCTATGTATTCACACGTGTATTACGATTTCCGGATAACACAGTTATAGCATGAATAACAGACAATTATCATGAACAAAGAAATATAATAATAACCATTTTATTATTGCCTCTAGGGCATATTTCCAACAGTCTCCCACTTGTACTAGAGTCAATATTCTAGTTACATTGTGATGAATCGAACACCCATAGCTTTCTGGTGTTGATCATGTTTTGCTCCAGGGAGAGGTTTAGTCAACGGATCTGCTACATTCAGATCCGTATGTACTTTACAAATATCTATGTCTCCATCTTGAACATTTTCACGTATGGAGTTGAAGCGACACTTGATGTGCCTGGTCTTCTTGTGAAACCTGGGCTCCTTGGCAAGTGCAATAGCTCCAGTGTTGTCACAGAAGAGTGCGATCGGCCCCGACGCATTGGGTATGACTCCTAGGTCGGTGATGAACTCCTTCACCCAGATTGCTTCATGCGCTGCCTCCGAGGCTGCCATGTACTCTTCTTCACATGTAGATCCCGTCACGACGCTTTTCTTGCAACTGCACCAGCTTACTGCCCCACCATTCAAAATATACACGTATTCCGTCTGTGACTTAGAGTCATCCAGATCTGTGTCGAAGCTAGCGTCGACGTAACCCTTTACGACGAGCTCTTCGTCACCTCCATAAACGAGAAACATATCCTTAGTCCTTTTCAGGTACTTCAGGATGTTCTTGACCGTTGTCCAGTGTTCCTTGCCGGGATTACTTTGGTACCTTCCTACCAAACTTACGGCAAGGTTTACATCAGGTCTGGTACACAGCATGGCATACATAATATACCCTATGGCTGAGGCATAGGGGATGACACTCATCTCTTCTTTATCTTCTGCCGTGGTCGGGCATTGAGCCGAGCTCAATCTCACACCTTGCAATACAGGCAAGAACCCTTTCTTGGACTGATCCATATTGAACTTCTTCAATATCTTATCAAGGTATGTGTTTTGTGAAAGACCTACGAGGCGTCTCGGTCTAACCCTATAGATCTTGATGCCTAATATGTAAGCAGCTTCTCCAAGATCCTTCATTGAAAAACACTTATTCAAGTAGGCCTTAATGCTGTCCAAAAGTTCTATATCATTTCCCATCAAAAGTATGTCATCTACATATAATATGAGAAATGCTACAGAGCTCGCACTCACTTTCTTGTAAACGCAGGCTTCTCCATAAGTCTGCATAAACCCAAACGCTTTGATCATCTCATCAAAGCAAATGTTCCAACTTCGAGATGCTTGCATCAGCCCATAAATGGATCGCTGGAGCTTGCATACCTTGTTAGCATTCTCAGGGTCGACAAAACCTTCTGGCTGCATCATATACAGTTCTTCCTTAAGATGGCCATTAAGGAATGCCGTTTTGATGTCCATTTGCCATATCTCATAATCATAGTATGCGGCAATTGCTAACATGATTCAGACGGACTCCAGCTTTGCTACGGGAGAGAATGTCTCATCATAGTCAATCCCTTGAACTTGTCGATAACCCTTAGCGACAAGTCGAGCTTTATATATGGTAACATT